TTCTACCAAAGAGCCGGAAACGTATTGGTCAAGAGATTTGAGGAGCGCGAGGAAAATGTACGCCTCGAGATCATCAGCTGTTTGGCCCTCCTCGTGCGTAAGACGGGTGAGGATCTCTACCCAGGTTCTGCCTGGAACCTCGACAACCCCGATGACGAAGCCCCTAGCCAAGCCCCCATCAACAGGAAACGGAGACGACAGAGCAGTGTGGCCGAACCCGGCGCTGCGTCTCCGGTGCTCGAAAAGGCCCCTGCCACTGGACCTCGTGCCGACCTCGTGCGCCTCACTCCCAGTATTGTGAAGGCATCAAACAAACTTCTCAAGGGCAAGGTCATTTCGACCAAGCAGGCCATTTTCAGCCTGTTTGACGATATTGTCAAGGTACAGCGTGGAGGTCTGTCTGATTACTTTGGTGATATCATGGGGCCTACCATTGAAGCGGTCAAGTCCACTGGTTCCGCCGGGCTTCTCATCTTCCCTGGCAGCAGCTGGGAGGCAGCGCATCCGCCACACCGGGAACTCTCCGCGTTGCTTCCCTTCGGCTCGTCAGTGATATCGCCAAGACGCATTCTTCTAGCGTTCTGCAGCCATACCTGCCTCAGCTCGTTGCCGCTGTTGTTGCCGCTGTCAACGATCGCTTCTACAAAATTTCGTGCGAGGCCATGAGGACTGTGGAAGAACTCGTGAGGAACATCACCCCTCCACGTTCTGGAGTCAATGCGCAAAAGTTCAAGTCGGAGCTTCAGAGCCTGTATGATATTATTTTCAATCGCATTACACAGGCTGGAGTCGACACGGAGGTCCGCCAGCGGGCTATTCAAGCTCTTGGTGTGCTGCTGGCGCGCACCATCAGCTCAGAGGGCTCAAGCCTCATCCCGGCCGAGAAGCGACGGGCGGCAATGGACGTGCTGGCTGACAGGGTCAAGAGCGAGACGACGAGGCTCGCAAGCGTTCGCGCCATCGACACCATCGCTTCCTACACAACAAGCCCGGGTCAACTCGAGAAGTCATGGATCCAAGACGTCGCGCTGGAGCTCGCGGCACAGCTCCGAAAATCCAACCGAGCCCTGCGCACTTCTAGTATTCAGGGTCTGAAGCATCTCGTTTCGTCTCCCACGAGCAAAGGCCAACTGGAGCCCGAGACGATCAAGGGTCTGGTCTCTTCGCTCGGTTCCGTTGTCAGCAACAACGATACCCACCTCCTAGCACCGGCACTTCTCGTGCTGGCGCAACTGGTTGAAGAGAATGCAGCGTTGGTCATGACACCCGAAATGACGAACACGCTCTGCGAGCTGCTTAAGTCTGCGTACGCGAGCATTGCATTGGACCAGCTCCTGATCCTCGTGAACAAGGTCGGCGAGAGCGGTACCGGACAGCCACTGATGAACGGTCTATTGCAAACGGTTAGTATCGAGGGCGACCCCGTCGTGGTTGGCAAGGTCATCGGCACCCTGCTCGTGGCTAGTGGCAAATCGACAGGGGTGACGCTCGACAGCTTCATCTCGGAGCTTCAGACGAGCTCGCAGACCAAAGACGATGCGCGCGTCAGCCTCGCGCTGGCCGTGCTGGGCGAGGCAGGCCTGCGCCTCGGGGCCAAGTCGCCTCTGCAGCCAGACCTGTTCCTGAAGCAGTTCCATGGCGAGCCCGACAACGTGTCGATGGCCGCTGCCGTGGCTCTCGGTCGCGCCGGCTCGGGCCATGTCGCACAGTACCTGCCGGTCATTCTGGAGACGATGAAGAAGGGCGGCAACACGCAGTATCTGCTGATCCAGTCGATCAAGGAGATTCTCCACCTGATCACGGCGCAGTCGGTGGACATTCGACAGTACGCTGAGCCCATCTGGCAGCAGCTCTTGGCGGCCTCGACAAACCCGGAGAACACGGTCGTGTGCGCAGAGTGCGTGGGCAGGCTGGTCATTGTCGACCCTAAGACGTACATGCCGGCGCTGCAGGTGAGTACATGGCGAATCACCCGAGATTGATGTTCAAAGCTGACTAACGTGACACAGTCGCTCCTCAAGGACAGCTCATCGGGTGTTCGCGGCATGGCGGTGCAGGCGGTGCGGTATACGCTGCCCGACAGTGACGACGCGCTCGACGCCATGTTCCGGGACGTGCTCCTGGAGATGCTGCTGACGATGCTGGACGACGCCAAGATGGACAACCGGCGGCTGGCCATGTCGACGCTCAACTCGGCGGCACACAACAAGCCGGACCTCATCCTGCCGCACCTGGGGCAGCTGATGCCGTTTGTGCTGGTCGAGTCCAAGGTCAAGCCGGAGCTGATCCGCGAGGTGCAGATGGGGCCGTTCAAGCACTACGTGGACGACGGGATCGAGGTGCGCAAGAGCGCGTACGAGATGCTGTACGCTCTTATGGAGACGGCGTACGCGCGGATCAACAAGCTCGACCTCTACGACCGGATCATTGCGGGACTCAAGGACGACAATGACATTCGGGCGCTGTGCAACCTCATGGTGACGAAGCTCGTGGTCATGGACCCCGAAGAGACGACGCGGCGGCTCGACGCGCTGGCCGAGGCGTACCGCGGGGTGCTCGCAACGAAGCTCAAGGAGGGATCGGTCAAGCAGGAGGTGGAGAAGCAGCAAGAGGCCAACCGTAGCGTGCTCCGGGTGACGCTGCTGCTCGCCGACCGGATCACGCGAGCGACGGGTGGGGGCGTGTCGACGGCGACGGCGATGGCGACGGCGACAACACCAGCAGGAGGCCAGGGTGCGTCGGGCACGGGTTCGAGCGCGACGTGGGACGCATACTGGGAGTGGGTCAACAAGGACTTTCAGCCTCAGTTGAAGCAGCTGCGGGAGGAGAGCGAGCTGCACCGGGCGAAGCACGTGTGAGAAGGCTGGCAGGTACTCAGGCACTGAGGCACGCGAATGGACAAAAGAAAGGAATGGACGAAGAATGACTACACTATGACCCATGTTGGCAAGCTCGGTGTTGCGTGCGTGACAGGTTGACCGCCGGCCAAGCCAAGGCAGCATGAGCGTCTGAGAGCAGAGATGGTCGAAGGAAGGGATCAGGCTCGTCTGAGGCTGTTCACGTAGGTACAGCATGTTCACGTAGGTACCTTAAAAAGGCACATACATGTACTCTGTCGCCCGTCTCAGTGGTGGGTGGTGGGTGTCGGGGCTCGGGCGAGGACAGATGATTGGCTTGCGTGGAGTGGACCCCGGTCAGCGACGAAGTGGGGTTCAGGGTCTCTCTTGCCTCTGGCGTCTGGGTCGGGGTCGAGGCCTGGGCCCTGGCGGAAGCAGGCAGGCAGGCACGACCAGCGACGGAAAGACAGCGAGAGGAAGGCGCATGAAGGAGGGAGGCAAGGAGGCAAGGTACAAGTAACGAAGTACAAGTAACGAAGTACAAGTAACGAAGTACAGAACACGCCAGCGGCCACGCCACTGCATCCCCAGACGTCTGCCTGTCAACCTTGCGGAGGCTGCAGGCTGTTCTCTTCTTCCTCTGCCCTGCCTCAGCGAGAAGCCATCTGGGCATCCATTCCTGTCCTTCAATTCATCAGGCACGATACCCTCCGGAGATCCTCACGAGCGATTGCTCTTCTCAAATCATCATCTTGCCATCTCGGACATCACACGCAACGGCCCGCCACCATGAGCATGCCAGGCTCCTTCAGCCCCCATGCTCCCTCGAGCCCCAAGATGGCCCCAACCGCCGCTGCGTCGTCTGCCTCTACGGGCGATGTCAAGAAGCCGGATGCCTTTCTGACGCCGCCTCTTCGCCTCGGCGAGTCTTCCGATGCCTATTCCCTCCACAGCACCAACGCCAATGCACCTGGCCGATTCTACGACGACGACCCCGCCGAGTTGCCTGGGAGTGGCGGCGACGATGACGACCTGCCGCCTCTATACACCGACGAGCCCTCGGCCGACGGCGTCCGCGATCCTCTGCTCCAGATCCAGGACCTGCACAGCAAGCAGCACGGCCTCGTGCCGCCCCATCTCGTCGTGCCCGACACGGGCAACGAGTACCACATCGACCGCCGCCTCGACGCCGACCCCTCGTTCCTCCAACGCCACATCGAGGCGTGCGCCGAGATACCGCCCCGTGCTTTTGTACGCCTGCGCGGCACCCACACGGAGCCCGTCCGCCGCGGCGACAAGACGGAGCGCCAGACGCACGTCGACTTTGACGTCCGCCTCGAGCTGACGCCCTTTCTCTACAGCGATATTGCCACGCACACGAGCTGGCGCACCCTGCGCACCGCCGACAACTTTGCCAAGGTCCGCCGCGGCACCGTCTTCGCCACGCGCGCCCCGGGTTTCGGCGGCGCCCGCGCCCCCGGCGGCGTCGTCACGGCCCTCGAGCAGGCCGCCCCGGCCTCGCCGAGTGGTGCCACCGCTACTGCGCCAGCCACGCCGGCCTCAAAGACGTTCCAGCTGCGCCGCGAGGTGACGGGCTGGAAACGAGGACCTCGTCCGGTCCAAGCTCGAGACGCTCATCCGCGCCACCGGCTACCAGGGCCACGTCGCCGTCACCTTTCCCCTGCAGGGCGAGACGGTCACCGTCTACAACGACGCCGCCACGAACCGCTGGCGCCTGCTGCGCTGGGTCCGCGTCCTCTGCGTCCTCACCCTCACCATCCTCCTCGCCTGGGCCCTGGCTCTTCTTCCGCACCGCCCGCTTCGAGGTCGCCGTCGTCGAGTGGCCTCTGAGCCCGCCGCCCGTGAAGGCGCCGCCGGCCGTCCGCGGACTACGTCAGCCTCAGCGAGGGGGCAGTTGGTACAACATGTGGGGCCCGCGCCGTCCGCCGCGCCGTCCTCGAGCGCAGGCAGGGCACCCTCGACCAGGGCGACCTCGTCGCCGCCGAGGGCGCCCAGGACGCCACCTTTGAGGGCCAGACCGAGGCGCAGGCCGTCGTCGGCAACGCCGTCGGCAATTTCGTGCGCGCCGGCGTCAGCGCCATGAATGCGGTCAATGTGCGGTTCGGCTGGGGCGGCGACCACTGAGCTGTGCACGGCATGTTGCACGTCATGTTGCTCGTTTACGTTGCTCGTTCACGTTGCTCGTTCACGTTGCTTGGGTTGCTTGGTTGCTTGGTTGCTGGGTTGCTGGGTTGCTGGGTTGCTGGGTTGCTGGGTTGCTGGGTTGCTGGGTTGCTTGATTGCTTAGGATGCTTGGGTTCGCATAGCTTTTCGGGTCTGCGTTGGATTTTCGGTCATAAAATACCCTCCTTTTGGTTTGCCTGGCATGGCTGGTATCTCATCAGAATGAATGATTATACGATATCTTTACCTTGTGTCTTCGTCGTTGACGCGCAGCAAGGGATGTACTGTACTGGCATGTTCGCCTTTGCCTTTGTCGCCTCATCCCCTCGTCATTCGGGCTTGCTATGCCTAGATGGAACCGGTGAGCAAACGTGGGAAATCATCTCCTGCATCAGGGCTACAGTTTCATGCCACTAACATTTCTTCGGAGGGGCTACATGTGAATGTGAACGAGATTGGGTCCTTCCACGGCTGATGTCTAGTTCGTCGCCTCGATCGGTGGTTCGTATGGCTTTGTTCCTTGTCATTATCTCGTCTAGAAGATACTATCTGATACATTATCTGATATTATCTAACATTATCTAACATTATCTGATATTATGTAAAAGCACATCAAATATCCTGGCTTCGTGCCGTCACTCATGCTCTCGGAGGTGACCTCATCGGAGCCTCGGAGCGCGCCTTGTTGCACCTCACCATCAGGCCTCGGTGAGATGGACCCCACCACCCCACCACACACCGAACGCACTCACCTCAACATCTCACCAAGTTGCTGCCTCTCAACCACGTCCCCGGCCACGATCACATCCTCATCAGTCAAACACCAAGTCTGGCAGCACAGTACGACAGGCAGCACATCATGGCCATGGAGATCGCCAACCCGAAACGGATCCTCGCCCTCGCGGCCCACGACCGCCAAGACGACCTCGCACGCTTCCTCGGCGCCCTGACGGGCACGACGCCGGAGCCCTCGACCGCCGCGTCGGCGACGCCCTCGCTCGCCGGCACCTCGCATGTCCTGCCGCTGACGACGTCCTACTACACGGCTACGGTCCCCGTCTGGCTCGACCTCGTCGCCGACGCCACCGCCACCGCCACCGACACGGACGGCGCGGACGCCGACGCCGACGAGGACTGGGCCGCCACGTTCCTGGCGCCCGAGGCCCGCGAGTCCTCGACGCGCTCGGCGGTGTCGTCGTCGTGCTGCCTGTGGCGCGCGGCGTCGCGGCTGCGCGGGGGCTCGTCGAGCAGGTCGGTCGCGTCGTCCGGGAGGGCCTCGGGGGGTGGGGGTGGGACGGGGTCGGGCTCGCTGTCGGTGTCGGTGCCGGCGGCGGGCGGGCCGAGGGGGAGGAGGAGGAGGCGGCGGAGCAGGGCGAGTGGGAGGATCTGTGCGGCGCCGCGGGGTTGGAGTTTGTGCGGGTGCGCGGCGTCGAGGAGGACAAGGGGAAGAACGAATTTGGGGGTGAGTTTTCCATTCTGCTGCTGTTGCTGCTACTTTCTCTCTCTGCTTCTGCACGTTGGCCGTGCCGTGACTGACTCGGTAGCAGAAAAAATGGGCATCCACAGAGTCCTCGAAGCGCTCGAGGCCAACGACTGGGACCAGGGCGACATACCCTCCGACCTCGAGGACGAGCTTGGCGGCCTCGAGGACGGCAGAGACGACCCCGAGAGCCTCGATTTCGGCGTCGACAGGGCCGACTTTGAGGGTCTGCGGCAGGCGATATGGGGCCTCGACACGGAGCCGAGGGCCGAGGGCGACGGCGAGGCCAGGGGCAGCGGTGCGCAGGCCGAGCCGTTGGACGAGGCGGCCGAGGTCGAGAAGCTGGAGAGCATGATGCGCAAGCTGCAGGCCGTGCGGGACATGAGCGCCGGCTTGCCGGAGGAGCAGCGGAAGAAGATGGCGGCCAAGGCCGTGAACGAGGTGATGAAGGATCTGTAGGCAATGCGCATATGCGCACTCTGTAGCGAACGTGTGGCGCCTCTGGTCTGTGTTCACGCTCTGCTCGTGAGCCCGGCCCTTTCCTCTGCCATATGCCTGTCTCGACTGTCCATTTGGTCATAGCCCGCGCCTGAAGCTCTTCTTCTTCTTCTTGCTCTTCTTGGGCTACGACGGCATACGAGTCCTCCGCCTCGTCTGATGTAGCTGGGGTTCAGCCTGCGTGTATGCGAACTCGGCGTCTCTTCTTGCGCGCACGCATGAGTTGTTGTAAGAACACTACGCAGTGCAACCCCTTTCCAGATCCTTGGAGGACCAGCGAGTCACCCTTCCTTCCATCTCGTTGCAGAGAGGCCAGCCTGGTATCTTGACTCCAATGTGAATAGAGGAAGACGTGTCTCCAACGCCAACTACACAGGCCGCGCTTGTCATGATATGGCTCCCTGGCTATCGCCTCATCGCATGCCATGACGGCGTTGGCGTCCTACTTTTGTCTTTGACTCGCCGCTTCCAGTACGCCTGGGTATAGGTGTCGTCTCCTGGACCCGCAGCCTGTTGCATATCTGTCCCGGCACAGCAGTTCGACCGGGCATCTTATCCACCAAAGTCTCGGGCTTTCAAGACCCAGAAAGGCGATCGATCACTGGAAGACGGCCGGTATCAACGAGATGGCAAGCAGGGGAAAGCCAAGGCCATGGTCCCTCGACGGATTGCATCCTCTTCCCCGTCTGGACGCCATGAGATGAAGAACCGCCAAGTCAACCGAAAACCACGGGCGAATCTCAACCCTCAGCACCAGAGACGCCAAAGCACGGCAGTCCCTCCATCCAAGCAACGAGCGCCCACGAAGGCCGACACCACAAAGCAAGCACCCCACCATGTCAACCGGCAAAAAAAAGGCAAGGCGCAGCAAAAGATATCCCGATGCGTGAACTGGGAATCGAACCCAGGGCTCCCCGATGGCAACGGAGAATTTTACCACTAAACCATTCACGCCGTGAAGACCGGAGATGTGACACCTCGGGTGGATGCTCGTCGTGTCCGCGGCGGAGTCTCATGTAGGTAGGTCTGCTCATTTTGTCCCAAACCGGGGGCGGCAGATTTTGTGCGTCTGCGTTGTGGGGCGGCGACCCTCCCTCCTTTTTGGGTCACTCGCCCGACCTTTGAACTTCGGGCGGTGCATCACGGCACGGTACAGCGCAATGGATGTTTGACGGGTTGGAGCTATGCTTGGGTTGCGAGTTCAGCTTACCGATGGTCGATCGTGTCCATCTGCAGCTTTGAGATACGGCTCCGCAAGGCGGCTTGTGTTCAGAAACTTCGCGCTGCGTACCCATCATAGATCAATACAACATCTACATCCTTTGGTTGGTAGCATGATACAAGTCCAATGAATAACTACGGGCATTATACAGACACACGAGTTTCGGCGTGGCACCGGCAACGACGGACCATAAAAGTGGCAGACAGGCATCTTGCGTTTTATGCAAAAGAGATCTATATAACACGGGTATCGACACATCAAAGTTCCAATCACCTCTGCTCGGGCGAATACGCCGGCAGCACCTCCTCTCCGCCTGCATTGCCTGCACTGGCCGCAGCTGGCGCGGCCACGGCAGATGGCGCGGCCGTTGACGGGCTGCCGCCGCCAGCTGCCCGTCGCGGTCCGGCCGGGGCCTTCGCAGGCGCGACGGCCCCCCTGGCCACGAGCATCTGCACAATCTCGGGATCCGCGAGAACGGCGACCAGCGCCGCCGGCTTCGCAGCCCCAGCCTTGTTGATGTCCGCCCCCTTCCCAAGCAGCTCTCTGACGAGCTCCGTCTCCCCCATAACCAGCGCCTCCACGAGCGGCGTCTTGCCCTCGGCATTGGCCTTGTTCGGGTCGGCGCCGTGCTTCAGCAACAGACGTGCGTTGCCGAGCATGCCCTGCGAGAGGGCGTACAGCAGTGGCGTGTCCTGCCTCCTGAACATGTGGTTCGGGTCGGCGCCGCGTTCGAGAAAGGCACGCAGGAGCGACGTGTTACCCTTTTCGAGGACGTGACACAGCAGACGCTCGCCCCACGAGTCGTACTGGTTGGGGTCAGCACCCTTGGCGAGGACGGCCGTGGCGAGCTCCGACTCGAACGTGTCCGTGAGCTTGGCGCCCTCGACGAGCTTGCCCAGGAGGGAGCGGCCGACATAGTCCGAGGCATTGGGGTTGGCGCCGCGCTCGAGCAGCAGCTTGGCCAGGGCGAGGTTGCGCTTGCCGACGGCAACGTGCAACAGAGAGTTGCCGGTGAGGTTGCTCGCGTTGACATCGGCGCCGTTCTGGAGCAAAAAGTCGACAATGTCGAGGCGGTTCTGGGCGAGGGCGAGGTGCAAAGCCGGCTGGCCCGTAATGTCCCTCGCGTTGACATTGCCGCCATACTGCCGCAAAAGGCGCAGGTGGTCGAGACTTCCCGCCTGGAGCGCCTGGATAAAGACAGAGCGGCCGTTGATGGACGTCGTGTTGGGGTCGGCGCCGTGGTCAAGGAACAGCTTGAGGATGTCGAGGCTGGCACTGCTGGCGACCTCGATGAAGAACGGCTGCCCCGTCCACGTCGAGCTGTCGCGGATACCGGCCCCAGCATCAATGAGCAGCTCGGCCATGGCAACGTGACCGCACTCGGCGGCATGGAAGAGAGCAGGCTTGCGCTGGCCGCTGTGGGAGTCTCTGAAGTTGAGCTGCGCACCGGCCATGAGCAGATAGCGCACGGCGGCGGCCTGGTTCGCGCGTGTCGCGCAGATGAGTGCCGTGTATCCGTCTTCATTCTGCCCGTTAATGTTGACACCCTGGGCCACGAACCCCTTGAGGTGGGCGACGTTGCCGTCCTTGGCCGACTCGCACATGGTGATGACCATGGGCTCCGGCTTTGGGCGTAAGCTCGCCGTCATGGCCTTGAACGAGTGCGACAAGGACGAGAAGAAGCCGTCCGTGGCCTTCTGCTTGCCCTTGCTGTCGGATGCCGATGAGTACTCCGGCGGCGGCTGCTCTGGCGACGATGGCGACGGCGAGTGCGCGTCAGCAAGAAGAATGTCCCCCATGCCCAAGACGCGCGCCGAAGCCTCCACAGCCTGATCCAGCAGCGTCCGGCCCTGCAGCGCCACGAACCTCTCTTCCTGGGCGGTTGGGGATCTTGTCGTGTCAGTACATGTCGCACGAATGAACATGTCGCACGAATGAGAAGAGGGGGGGGGGGACGGGGGAGGGAAAAATCCAAAGGCAGGTAGGCTCACATGTGAACGACAGCAGCAAGAACGGTAAACAGGCGCATATTCGCTGCATGGCACCGCGCAAACTCCTCGACAAGCTCGACGTTGAGCGTCTCGACGTCAAACCCGCCGCCGAGCCGCTGGACCTGCTTCCCGATGACGGCCGATGCGTCGTGACACGGCGGCAGCGCCACCTTGAGGGCGCTCTGCACGGACGGGGAGGGGGACGGATGCGTCGAGGTCTCGGACCCAGGAGCAGGGACAACAATAGGAACGGCAGCAGAGGCCGGGCCGGCGTGCCGCAGGGCGTCGCGCAGCGTCTCGACGGCCTCGCGCAGCTGGGCGAGGCCGCCGGCGAGGGCGAGGAGGCTCTGCAGACGGTAGCTCTCCGGGTCGACCGTCTTGACGAGGCGGTCGAGCTCGGCGTGGGTCGAGACGACGTGGGTCGTGATGGAGTCGCAGGCGGCGGCGGCGGCGAGGGCGGCGGGGGCACCCGAGCCGGCGGACATGATCATACTGTCGGCGTAGACAACTTTTGGTTGGAGGCGGGGTGGGCGACGTGAAGAGACGGGCTACGAGTAGGGTGTGCAATGGGCAAGTAAGTGTGCAATGAGCAAGTGCATCAAGGGCACCAATGCTTCTCTTCTCTCTTATGTGGTTGCATGTTGACCATGATGTACTTGGCCCTTTTGCTGCTGCCTGGGCGAGAGCTTCGGCTTGTCCGCAGGAGGGGGGAAGGAGCCATGGAGGGGAATTAGGCTCCCCTCAATTGACCCTATCGCCCCTGCCTCCCGCATGCCCATCACCTCGAATGCAGGAGGCGGAGTGACGCACTGGGAAAGAGAGACCCAGATCCCCCCCCCCCTGGCGGCCTCGAAACGTCACCGTTCATTGGGCGCAGGAACGATCCTTCCAACGGCGCACGCGACGGCCCTCCAATCACGCCCTCGACACACGTATCCGAAGCCGCGTGGACTCCTTCTGTCGGTTGCCCGCTGCCCGTTGCCCGTTGACTCTGCTCTTGCTCGATGGACTTGACGGCGATGTAGGGGCTGACATGATCCAATATGTGATTGCCTCTATCGTAAGATACTCTGGTGCTCTGTAACTAAGGTACCTGTGCTAAGGTACTCTCTCTACTGCGCCGCCCCGCCACGTCGTCGCCTCCTCTACCTCCGTGAACTGCTTCCCCATCGATGCAAAGTGGTATCAAGAGAAAAACGCCAAAAGTTCCCAGTCAAAAAGAACCCGCTCTTGCCCCGACGCAATCAACACAGCCGCCCCAACCATCTATCGTCCTGACACTCTTACACGTTGGCTCGACTGGCCCCCGTCGCCCTCATCTCAATCGACGTCTCCTCTCCGCCGCTGTCCTTCGACAGCCACCGCGACGCCTTTTTCTTCTGCTGCTGCTGCTGCTGCTGCTGCTGCTTCTTCTTCACACCTTTGACCTTGCCGAACCCCTTCTCAAAGGGGTCGCCCCCGTCCTCGACCTGCGTCACGTCGAGCCGCTGCTGCGACGTGCCTGCCGAACGCGGCATCACGCCCTGGTGGTCCTTGGCCTCAAAGGCCTCGGCGCCGTCGCCCTCCTCCGCGTCGGCGACGGCGACCCCGCGCTTCAGGGCCTTCTTCTCCTCGCGCTCGACTCGCTGCATGAGGTCCACGTCGTGCGGAAAGTACACCCGACGCATCGCGTGCACAAGCAGCTCAAGCACGAGCACGGCCCCGAGCGCCACAAGCACGACGGCCCAAAAGTTGGCCGTGCGCCCAAAGTTGTCAATGAACGCCCGGCGGATCTGGTAGATGCGCAGGCTCTCCTCGAAGATGCCCGATAGGATGAGGTTCCACAAGAACCAGCCGCCGACCGACAGGAATACGCCGAGGAAACTGATGATCGTCTTGGTGTGCATCTCGAGCACCCTAGTTCCTTGTTAGCACCACTGGTCCCCAAAACGCGCAAATGAAAAAAATGGAAACGTACAAAAGCCTGAGATTGATAAACACGACGCACACCGTAAACGGAACCGTGCCCATGGCGTACAGAGACGTGTCCTGGTCAAAGGGCAGCTTGTCATAGACGCCCCAGGTGATGTAGTAAATGACAAACGACTCGGCAATGCCCATGACGGTCCAGCCGAGGTACAGCCACAGGTTGATGGCCGAGCTCCTGTGGCCGTACGAGTAGAGCTCGGGGTACTTGAGCAGCGTCTCGGCGCTGAGATCCTTCTCAAAGGCGCCTAGGAAGATGACGGGCAGCGACGTGAAGAGCGTGTTGAACACGGTCAGACTCCAGTTCTCGTACAGAGAGGTGCCCGTGTAGCCGTTGAACCGCTGGTAGTATGCCTGCGGAAGGAAGAAGACAATCTCCTTCCAGAACGTGGCGAGGATGTACTTGCCCGTGCGGAGGTAGTTCCACCGCCCGTGGACGAAGAGCAACCGCTGCAAGAACCGGAACTGCGCGATCGAGTAGTCCGAAATGCGCGCCGCCTGCAGACCCTCGCGGCCCGAAATGCCAATGCCCACGTGGGAGGCTTGGATCATGCCAATGTCATTAGCACCGTCGCCAATGGCCAGAGTCAGCGACTTGGGAACCTGCCGGCGGATGCGTTTGACGAGGTTGGCCTTCTGCGCCGGCGACGCACGGCAGCAAATGACCGAGTCGACGCGGCCAGCCAAATCGTAAAAGAGGTACGACAGCCCCTCGTCATTGTCGATAGTGCTGAGCGTCTGGCCGTCGACCACGACGACCGTGTGCGGCAGCATGCCACGACCGACCTCGGCAAGCGCGGCCGAAATGGCTTCATTGATCGGGCCTGTCGTTGCGTCGAGGATGAAAAGCTCGGAGAACCGCCTGCACAGCCGTGCCGAGTGCCGCATGTTGATGCTGTCTTCCCGCTTGTCGCTCGTCAGCATCCAGA